TGGCAGCACAGGGACAGGTGTCCCCCAGGTGACAGCACAGGTGACAGCACAGGTGACAGGTGTCCCTCAGGTGGCAGCACAGGGACAGGTGTCCCTCAGGTAACAGCACAGGGGATAGCACAGGTGACAGGTGTCCCCCAGGTGACAGCACAGGTGGCAGCACAGGGACAGGTGTCCCCCACCTGGCCCAGGTGCCGCAGGCCTCAGGGGTGGCTCAGGGCTGGGGACCCGTGTCCCATCCCGGCCGCTGTCCCTCAGCAGGGCTGGGGACATTGCCGTGTCCCCTCCGTGCCCCCTCTGGGTGTGCCCCTGACCCCGGCTGTCCCCTGTCATGACAGTGTCCCCGGCTGTCCCCTGTCCTGACACTGACCCCGGCTGTCTCCTATCGCGACAGTGTCCCCGGCTGTCCCCTGTCCTGACAGTGCCCCCGGCTGTCCCCTATCGCGACAGTGCCCCCGGCTGTCCCCTGTTGTGCCCCTGACCCCGGCTCTTCCCTGTCCTGACAGTGCCCCCGGCTGTCCCCTATCGCGACAGTGTCCCCGGCTGTCCCCTATCGCAACACTGACCCCGGCTGTCCCCTATCGCGACAGTGTCCCCGGCTGTCCCCTGTCCTGACACTGCCCCCGGCTGTCCCCTATCGCGACAGTGCCCCCGGCTGTCCCCGGTCGTGCCCCTGACCCCGGCTGTCCCCTGTCCTGACAGTGCCCCCGGCTGTCCCCTATCGCGACAGTGCCCCCGGCTGTCCCCGGTCGTGCCCCTGACCCCCGGTTGTCTCTTGCAGCCGCCGCCCGCCGGGTGCCCCCCGGGCGCGCCCCCGGTGCCCGTCCCGCCCGGAGCCGCCGTGCTGCTGCCCCCGCGCAAGGGGGGCTTCCCGGGGGGGGCCGGGGGCGCCTTCAGCCTCTGGTGAGGGGCACCCCGGGCTCGGGGGACCCCCGGTGCCCGCCAGCGCCTCCCCCCGGGACCCGCCCCGGGCCGGGCAGGGACCCCGGCCCCGCAGGTGACACCAGGGGTGACAGGGGAGAGGTTTGGTAACTGGGGAGCCCGGGGGGGTCATTCACAAACGGGGTGAGCTCAGCCCTGCCCCTTCCTTATTTACACGAAGCTCTAATTAATTAACGGCCTAATTATGCCCTGGGGAGGGGTTTCCCCTTCCACCGCCCTCATCCCTCTGCTGGACCCGTCCGGGTTTCCCCTCTTTTTGGGAAAGGTGGATTTTGGGTAGAAAACAGACAAAATCTCCTGCCCGGAGGGAAAATTCCCTTCCCAGAGGCAAAAATCTCCTTCCCAGCAGTGGGAAGGACGCCCGAGCCCCTCCCGGCCTCACCCGAGGTGCCCCCCACCCTCTCCCCCTTTCTCCTCCAGAGTCCTCTGTCCTGGGATGTTTTTTAACCCACTCCGGGTAATTTGGATTGTTTGCACTTCAGCTCTAATCAAAGCCATGACCGGTGCCAGGGCCGCGCTGCAGCTCCCGTGGGATCCTCCCATTCCAGCTAGAACCAGGTTTAATTGATGCTTAATTAGCAAACGCTTGACTTTAACTCAAACCTGGTGTTTTCGCACCCGAATTCCTTAAATCCGAGAGGCTGTTTCCGTCTGTTCCAGCTGCCAGGTGTGGGAACTGTCAGTGAGCAGTGAGCGCACAAATCCCTTGGGTTCCCCCTGAGGCTCGGGGTGGTTTGGGGGTTATCGATGGTTTATCAATGAGGTGTTCATTGGTGCGTTTATCAGGAGTTTAATGAACGGGGTGTTTGTTTGGAGGTGGATTTTTATGAATGGGGTGCTTGTAAATGGGTTGTAAATGGGTTTATCGATGTGTTTATCAGTGACTCATGCCTGCATTGATAACCAAACCTCCACAAGCTTGGCAGGAACCTTCAGGGATCCTCAGTCGGGTGTTCTTCTTTTTGGCTGTTACTTGATGGAGAAAGAGCTCAGATTCGACCCTATTTTATCTTAATATTTCACTTTAATCTGAATCTGTGTTCTGTGTGTGTGACCATCCCTGGCTGTTCCCGAGCGCAGCTCTCGGACTCTCTGTGCTGCACTGAACTTGTGGAGTTTTTATACTAAAAACCAAAAATAAAGATTATTTTGAAAATTTAAATGAAGTAACAAATTTCTGTTGGGCCTCTGAGAACCCCTTTGGCTGCTGCCAGCCAGGGCTTTCCTCACTTCTTTCGTTTTTCCTGCTGCATTGGGAACTTCCTCTTACTAATTTTTAGGGGGTATTTGAGGTTTTTCCTACCCTTGGGCACCCACGTATTCCTTCCACGGTTGGCTTCATAAATTAAGGAAAAAAACTGAAACAAAACGAACAAAATCAGCCTGTAGATCCTCAGCGTTAGGCAGAGCCCCAGCTCCAGGGAATTGAGGGAGATCACAAGCTCCAGGAGATTCAGGCAGATCCCAGCTCCAGGATATTTAGGCAGAACCTCAAGCCCAGGGAATTTAGGCAGGTTTCCGATTTAGGTGGATCCCTAAATCCAGGGAATCTAAACAGAACCCCAAAGCCAGGAAATTCAGGTGGAGCCCCAGCTCCAGGGAATTTAGGCAGATTCCCAATTTGGGAAGATCCCCCACCTCCAAGAAATTCAGCAGATCCTCAGCTCCGGGATATTTCGGCGGACGCCCAACTCCAGGAAATTGGGGCAGATCCCTGATGCCCGGGAATTCAGGCAGCATCCTAACTCCTGAAAACTTATGTGGACCAACTCCAGGGAGCTTCGGGAGCTGTGTGGATCCCAGGCGTGTCCTTAGATAAAATATTCCTCCTTCTCCTTGGCCGGGGGCTCCTCCCGCGGGGCCGCGTCCGGCTCCGCCTGCTCGTAGGTGCGGTAGGAGCCCTGGTTCCGGTACAGGTAAATCCCGATCACCACCAGCACCGTCAGCAGGGTGAGGAAGACCAGGGTGATCACCACTGCGGGCAAGCACAGGGGCAGCGAGGTGAGGAAGACCAGGGTGATCACCACTGCGGGCAAGCACAGGGGCAGTGAGGTGAGGAAGATGAGGGTGATCACCACTGCGGGGCAAGCTCAGGGCTCAGCAGGGTGAGGAAGATGAGGGTGATCACTGCGGGGCAAGCTCAGGGTCAGTGAGGTGAGGAAGATGAGGGTGATCACTGCGGGGCAAGCACAGGGTCAGCGAGGTGAGGAAGATGAGGGTGATCACCACTGCAGGCAAGCTCAGGGTCAGTGAGGTGAGGAAGATGAGGGTGATCACCACTGCGGGCAAGCACAGGGGCAGCGAGGTGAGGAAGATGAGGGTGATCACTGCGGGGCAAGCTCAGGGCTCAGCAGGGTGAGGAAGATGAGGGTGATCATCACTGCAGGGCAAGCACAGGGGCAGCGAGGTGAGGAAGATGAGGGTGATCACCACTGCGGGCAAGCACAGGGGCAGCGAGGTGAGGAAGATGAGGGTGATCACCACTGCGGGCAAGCACAGGGTCAGCGAGGTGAGGAAGATGAGGGTGATCACCACTGCGGGCAAGCACAGGGTCAGCAAGGTGAGGAAGATGAGGGTGATCACTGCGGGGCAAGCTCAGGGCTCAGCAGGGTGAGGAAGATGAGGGTGATCACCACTGCGGGCAAGCACAGGGTCAGCGAGGTGAGGAAGACCAAGGTGATCACCACTGCGGGGCAAGCACAGGGTCAGCGAGGTGAGGAAGACCAAGGTGATCACCACTGCAGGCAAGCACAGGGTCAGCGAGGTGAGGAAGATGAGGGTGATCACTGCGGGGCAAGCTCAGGGTCAGCGAGGTGAGGAAGATGAGGGTGATCACTGCAGGACAAGCTCAGGGTCAGTGAGGTGAGGAAGATGAGGGTGATCACCACTGCGGGCAAGCACAGGGTCAGCGAGGTGAGGAAGATGAGGGTGATCACCACTGCAGGCAAGCACAGGGGCAGTGAGGTGAGGAAGACCAGGGTGATCACCACTGCGGGCAAGCACTGGGTCAGTGAGGTGAGGAAGATGAGGGTGATCACCACTGCGGGCAAGCACAGGGTCAGCAAGGTGAGGAAGATGAGGGTGATCACCACTGCGGGCAAGCACTGGGTCAGTGAGGTGAGGAAGATGAGGGTGATCACTGCGGGACAAGCTCAGGGTCAGCGAGGTGAGGAAGATGAGGGTGATCACTGCGGGGCAAGCTCAGGGCTCAGCAGGGTGAGGAAGATGAGGGTGATCCCCACTGCAGGGCAAGCTCAGGGCTCAGCAGGGTGAGGAAGATGAGGGTGATCCCCACTGCGGGGCAAGCTCAGGGCTCAGCCCGCAGTGCCTCACCTGCGATCACGGCGGTGTCGGCGTCCTCATGGCCAGCGGGGGTGGAAGCCTTCCTCAGGTACGGGGTGGTCAGGTCTTCCTCGGGACAGGGAGAGAGGGAGGTGAGGGAGGGCTGAGCCACGTGGAGAACGTGGGAAGAGGCCAGAGAAGCGCTCCAGGAGCTCACCTGAGCTCAGGTGGGGCTGATCTCGCTCCATCGCATCGGCTCCTCCTAGGGGAAGGTTTGGGGTCCTTCAGAGCTGCCAAAAATAGCGATAAAAGCGGTGAATTCCCACTCAACCCCGTCACCTGTGCTCAGGTGGGGCCGAGATCCCTCCTTGCAGTGGCTCCTTCCAGCTGAGGCTCCGGTTCCTTCGGAGCTGCCGAAAACGGATAAAAGTGGTGATTTGCCCCAAACCGCCCCGGAGGGCTCCGCGCGAGGGGGGTGGTGCAGCACCAGTAACGCACTGGTGTTACTGGGGCGGAGAAGAACCAGCCCCTGTTTGGATTCACTCCCAGACTTGGGGAGCTTCAAAGTGCCTGGAAGTCCTTGAAAATGCCCCAAATGCGGGGCCGGAGGTCGGTGCCGCAGAATTGCCCGACCACCGTGGCTGTGCCCGCCGGGCCCCCGCGTGTCCCGGCGGCGGCTCCGGGGCGCGGGGGCTCCGTGACTCAGCGCGCTCGGCAGCGAATCGAATCCCGTTTGTTTGGGGATTTTAAAAAAAGAGGAAATCGAGCGGCGGGAGCGGGGCAGGAGCGGGGCGGGGCCACGGCCGGGCCGGAGCGGGAATTGGGGCTGGGGGACCCGGGAATTGGGGCTGGGGGGACCCCGGGAATTGGGGCTGGGGAGAGAGCCTGGAATTGGGGCTGGGGGACCCCGGGAATTGGGGCTGGGGAGAGAGCCGGGAATTGGGGCTGGGGAGAGAGCCGGGAATTGGGGCTGGGGGACCCCGGGAATTGGGGCTGGGGGACCTCGGGAATTGGGGCTGGGGAGAGAGCCGGGAATTGGGGCTGGGGGGACCCCGGGAATTGGGGCTGGGGAGAGAGCCGGGAATTGGGGCTGGGGGACCCCGGGAACTGGGGCTGGGGGACCCCGGGAATTGGGGCTGAGGAGAGAGCCGGGAATTGGGGCTGGAGGACTGGGGGGGTCCTGGGAATTGGGGCTGGGGGAGTCGGGAATTGGGGCTGGGGGTGGCCGGAAACTGGGGGCTGACGGGGAAAGCCGGGAACTGGGGCTGGAGGAGAGCCCCGGGAATTGGGGCTGGGGGAGTCGGGAGTTGGGGCTGGGGGGTCCCGGGAATTGGGGCAGTGAACGTTCCCCGCCCCGCAGGGGGACAGGGAGGGGCGGGGACCCCGAGCAGGCAATGCCCGGCTCGGGCTGGCAGCAGCCACCCGCTCGTTAAACTCAGTTTTAAACTCAGTTTTACTTAAAATCAGCTGTGCTTTAAACCGAATTGTACTTTAAAGCCAGCCTTGCTTTTAACCTGGTTTTGCTGTAAGGCGACTTCTGCTTTAAAACTAGTCCTGCATTAAATCTTGCTTTGTTTTAAGCCTGTTTCACTTTAAACTTTGTTTTGCTTTAAACCCGGCTTTGCTTGAAACCACACTCTGCTTTAATCTCAACTTTACATTAAACCCAATTTTATTTCCAGCACAATTTTGCTTTAAGCCTGATTTTACTTTAGTCCAGTTCTATAAACTCAGCTTTTCTTTAAACTTAGTTTTGCTTTAAACCAAACTTCCCTTTAAGTCCAGCTTTTGATTAAACCCAACTTTGAATTAAACTTGATTTTGCCTTAAAACCAGCTTTCCTTTAAACTGAGTTTGCTTTAGACATGATTTTGCTTTAAGCACAGATTTCCATTACATCCAGAGTTGCTTTGGTTTAAACTCGGTTTTGCTTTAAACCCAACTTTGAATTAAATCAAGTTTTGCTTTAAACAGTTTTGTTCTAAATCCAGTTTTGCTTTAGCCCAGCCCTTCATTAAGCGCAGCTTTGCTGTGCTGCTCTCCGGGCTCTGGGCCTTTCCCAAAGCCAACCGCGACCTTCCCGTGGAGCTGCTCCCGGCTGCTCCAGAGCCAGAACTGGCTCTGATTTCCCCAAAGAGTTTGGGATTTGAGAGAAGAAGAGGAAAAGGCGCTGCTGGGTGGGACGGGAGCTGGTCCGAGCCTTGGGAGGGTTTTTTGGGAAGAGTCTGGCAGCTCTGTGCCAGTTCTGTGCCCCATCGCCAAACACCCGCAATCCTGGGACCCACAGCGCCTTCGGGACTCACCAAAGCTTTAACCCGAGTTTTAGCTGAGGGAAGGTTTGATTTCCATCAGGCCATCCGTGGTCGTGGAGGTGGAGCTCCTCCTGCTCGCTCCCGGGGCAGGGATGCTCCATGGATCCCCTCCATCCCCTCCCCGGCGTGGTGGGAAGGAACTCCCGCAAGCCCCGCGGGGAGGCTCCGGCGCTTCCCCCCACAAAAACCCTCGGGATTTCTGGCAGTGCCAGGCCGGGATCCAGGCCGGAAAAGGGGGGCTGGCAGCGGGAGTGAATCATTCCCATCCCGATGGATTTCCATGTGTTTTTAAAGCAGGGTTGTGGAAAAACCCTCATCTTCCTCATTCCTGCGCTCCGGCCGAGTGGCTCCAGAGCCGTTCCCAAGGGAAACCCTGCCCTGCTCTGCTGCTCTCATCCCAAAAACTCCTTCCAGGAGCCCCGGGGATGCAGCGCCCCCATCCCCATCCCCATTCCCGTGGCCGTTCCCGGTGCCTGGAGGACGGGAGGAGCAAACCGACCCTACAGCGATTTGTTGGGGGTGCTCGGCAGTGTCTTTACTCCATTCCCATCCCACTTCCATTCCCATTCCCGGCCGATGGAGGATGGGATCACCAAACCATCCCCCCAGGCCTCTTTGGGGGTGCTCGGCAGCCCCTTTAGAGCCCCTCCTTCCCCTCCCCAGCGGGCGGAGGGCGGCATTTGCTGCTCGCCCGCCTATCTTCACCTTGGGATGATCCCTTGGGACCAGCACTTTGCTCCCCTGTTTCCCTCTCAGCTTTCCTGCCGGATTTCCTGCTTTCAGCCTCTCCCTGTGGCAGGATCCGGCCTTTTCCTCTCCTCCCGCCCCAAATCCAGCTGGAAAATGCCCGGCCGAACCCCGACGTGCTTCAGCCCAGAGCAGCCGCACGCCCCATCCGTCCCTCATTGCAGGGCCCCGGTGGCGCCGTGTCCCGATGCCGTGCCTGGGGTTTTGCGTAGCCACCCCCTGAAGCCCCCAGGGATCGGGAATTTCGGGGGGCACCCCGGGATCCGGGTCCCACTCCTGCAGCTCTTACCTGCCGGCACCATGTGCGGCTCCAGGTGAAGGCGTTGCCCAGGTGAAGGCGTTGCCTTTTTCCTACCTCACCTTTCCAGTTCGGCTGGAATGAGGCTCAACCCCCCCGGATCCCTCCCCCGTTAACCCCTCGCTGGCTGCGGGGCAAACCCATCGTCCAGGAGACTGGGAATGGGGCTTTGAATTCTGGATCACGGGAGGGGAAAATTGGGGTGTTTTGGGGTTTTTTTTGGCATGACAGCGCATTTTCCGGGAGCTGGTGGAACAGGCTCGACGTCTTTTCCCTGAGTCACGGGTTTTGGAGCGCGGGGAGAGAGTGACAATCCCCAGCCTCCCCCTCTCACACTCCTCAGAGACCCGAAATCCGCCGCTGGGGATACCCCCGGACCCCTCTGCAGTCCCAGATGGAGATTTGGGATTTTGCCACCTTTTTCATCTTTATTTCAGACGGGATGGGGGCTGGGAAATACTTTCTGGGGAATAAATTTGGGGAAGATGCCGCATTTCCCGTGGGATCAGAGGGTGCTGAGGCACTCGGGGGGATCCTGGAGGGGGTCTGCAGCACCTGAGGAGTCCTGGCTCGTGTCCTGCTCCGGTGTCCCGGAACAGCCCTGGGAGAGACACGGGGGGGACACTGGCACCTCGTGATTCCGTTAAATCCCAGCCCAAAGGGACCGAGCCCCTGCCCGCTGCACCCGCCCGGGCTGGGGATCCAGGGGGGCACCGGCCGTTCCCGGGGCCTGGCGCCGCGGGGAGGGGCAGGTCCGGCCCCACCTGCGGCAGAGGGTGTCCCCCGGGCTGGCTTTGTCCCCCGGGCCGGCCCCGTGTCCCCACGAACCGCCCGGGTGTCCCCGAGCCGGGAATCCTGTGCGCGTTCCTCGCTCCCACCGCGGCTCTCCCAGAACTTCCCCACCTGAGCTTTGCGCACCTCCGGCCCGACACCCGCCGCCTCCGCGCTGTCCTGGGTGTCCCCGCGCTGTCCCCGCTCCCCGCCGAGCTGGCACGGCTCCCGGGGTGTCGCCGGTGCCGCCGCGGGGCCGAGGGCACGGCAGGGGACAGCTGCGGGCGGGGACACCGCGGGCCGTGCCCGACCCTCGGCGCTGGTGGCCGCGCTGTCCCCTGCCGTGCCCGGCTCTGGTGACAAGGTGCCAGCGGCCTGGGCGATGGCCTCGGATAAAATCAGCGACGCCAGGGAGGCGGCGATGCCCTCGGGGCCCCCCCGCGCCCCGCTGTCACCCCCCGGCGCCGCCGCTGTCGCCGATGGCTCCTGCCCCGGGCACGGGGCGTCGGGGTTGGAGATGGGCTCCGGGGGCTCCTCGCTGGACACCGACCCTGTCGCCGATGTCGCCCGCCCCGGGGGCTCGTTGTCGTGGCCGGGCTCCGGGGGCTCCTCGCTGGACACCGACTCCGTGTCCAGGGAGGCGCCGCTGGCGGGCGAAGCCGGGGGCGGCCCGGGGGAAACAGCCCCCGGCTCCGCGCTGGGGGCGGCGCTGTCCCCGCCGGGGGACGCCGGTGTCACCTCCGCGTCCTCCACGGGCGCCTTGTCCGGGCAGGGGAACATGGCCGGGGGGCTCACGGGCGCGGAGATGACCAGAGAGCGGCGGTTGCTGGCGGGGGGGACAGAGCGGTTCAGGCCGGGGTGTCCCCGAGCATCCCTGAGGTGTCACCGGCCCAGCCTGCAGGTGACGCTTCCCCATCCAGCAGGACCCCGACACCTCCCCAGGCCCACCAGAAAGCGCCTTCAGCCCGTCTGTGGCACACCCCGCCCGCCCCAGGACCTTGGGGCCGGAGCCTCGTGGGGGCTGGGGGGCCAATTGTCCCCTCCACCTCCGCTGTGCCCCCTTCTCCCCCGGGCGTTACCTGGGAACGCCTTTGATGATGAACACCTTGCTCGAGTGCTGCTTCTCCAGTTTGCTCATCACCTCGTACAGGTCCCGGTTGAGCTGGGGAAGGGGGACGCAGAAACACCTCAGGGGCCCCCCAGGTACCCCCACCCACCCGGGGTTCAGCAGGGCCCCCAACACCTGGGGACAGCCCAAACACCCTCGGGCTGCTCTGGATGAATGAAATGAAGAGCAAGGACTCTGGAAGGGTGGGAAACAGCATCGGCGTAACCTTCTGGGGACACCTGGGGACACCTGGTGCTACCGGGGGGTGGGGGAGGTGTTTTGGGGTGCCTTCCCCACCTTGCTCATCTCCTTGTAGAAGACGTCACGGAGGTTGGAGATGTTCTGGAACACGGTGATGTAACAGGCGATGCGGCTGCGGGGGACAGGGAGGGGTCTGGGGGTGTCCCACGATGTCCCACAGAGGGGACACCAGAGGGGTCTGGGGGTGTCCCACGATGTCCCACAAAGGGGACACCGGAGGGGTCTGGGGGTGCCCCATGAAGGGGACACCGGAGGGGTCTGGGGATGCTCAGCCACCTCCCACCTGCTGAGTCCCCAACACCTTGGGCCCCACATGGAAGGGGAATGTCCCCCTCAGGGCCACCCCATGGATGCCGTGGAGCTGCCACCTCCCACTGTCACAGGCCCCCCGTGGCCCCCTGCCCCAGGACCCCCGATGTGTCCCTAGGGTGGACTTTGAGGAGAGACCCACGCAACTTCTTCCCTGCATGGGGGGACCTCGCCCACCTGATGGCACCCATGCCCATGTCCCCCAGCCCCATGGTGTCCCCCCACCCCTGCTGTGTCCCCCTGTCCCTGCCGTGTCCCCCCACCCCACGATGTCGCCCAGCCCCATGATGTCCCCCAGCCCCACAATGTCCCCCAGCCCCACGATGTCCCCCAGTCCCACAATGTCCCCTAGCCCCACAATGTCCCCCAGCCCCACGATGTCCCCCAGCCCCACGATGTCCCCCAGCATTACAATGTCCCCCACGCCCCGGTTCTTGATGTCCCCAAGCCCTTGTGGTGTCTCCCAGCCCGATGACATCCCCAGCCTGTCAACGCCCACAGTGACCTCCAGCCCCACGGTGTCCCCAAATCCCTGCAGTGTCCCTCAGCCCCCTGCATGTCCCCGAGCCCCCGCGATGTCGCCAGGCCTGTGACAGCCCCGTACCTGCCGTACAGGACCGGCAGCTCCTCCCGCAGGTCCCTGTTCAGGTCCTCAAACACCGCCTGGGCTTTATTGAACTCCTCCTCGGCCTGCGGGGAGGGACAGGGGGCCGTGGCTTTGTCCCCACGGCCGGGGGACTGTCCCCACACGGGGGCTGTGCCGGGGCATCCTGGGGAGTCCCAACCTTGGCGATTTTGGCCTCGTCCTTTTTCTTGGCGCTCTGCAGAGCCTCCAGGTGGTGCCGGGCGCTGTCGTAGTCCACGAGCTTTCGGCCCCGCTTGGCGATGCGCTCCTGGGAAGGGGGGACAGGTGAGCCAGGACCCCCCGTGCTCCCCCCGCCCCCAGCCCCACCAGACCACGCAGGGGCACCTTAAAATCCCCGAACTGAGCCAGGTAATTCTCCATGAGCCGCAGGGCTTGGTCAGCCAGCTTCGCCTCGTAGTCATCCCACAGGAGGTCATTGCTCTGGGGGGACAGTGACAGGGACAGGGACAGCAGTGGCACCCGGGACCCTCCAACCCCCCAGGCTTCAAGGGGACCCTTGGGGACACCCAGGGCTCACGTCGGCGATGGCGCGGAGCTCCTCGTGCCCGTCCCATTCGGGGCTGTAAATCTCCTGCAGCGTCTCGGCCACTCTGCGGGAGCTCTCGTGCATCACTGCGGACACAGACGTGCGGCACGGTCATTGGCATGGCCATGGTCATTGGCATGGTCATGGTCATTGGCATGGTCATGGCCATGGTCATTGGCATTGTGATTGTGATTGTGATTGTGATTATGATTGTCATTGTCATTGCCATAGTCATTGTCACTGTCATTGTCATTGTCATTGTCAATGTCAATGTCACTGTCATTCCCATTGTCACTGTCATTGTCATTGTCAATGTCAATGTCACTGTCATTCCCATTGTTATTGTCACTGTCATTGTCATTGTCATTGTCATTGTCAATGTCACTGTCATTCCCATTGTTATTGTCACTGTCACTGTCACTGTCATTGTCATTGTCATTGCCATAGTCATTGTCACTGTCACTGTCATTGTCATTGTCA